AATGATGATATGGGATTTATGCTGAATTCAAGGCTGGCTTGGACAATGCTCAACTGGGTTCAGAGAAATTACTTGTGAGATTATTGTAGTCTACTTGTAGGTTACCTGTAGTGATTAAAAGAAAGAAGAAAGGATGATTGAAGAGATGCCGAAAAGGCATAGCAGCAAGACTTAGTGACTGACTTGGAGCAGGTGACAGAGGCCTATGGAGGGAGTCTGGCTTCCAAGTACTGCTTTTCCAGATGGATTCAGATGATGCTGGGGTATAGCCAGGAATGAAGAAGGAAAAACATGTTGGGTGATAATGAGTTGAATTGTTGTGATATTGATTCAAGACATAAAGTAGAGAAATTTGAGAAGTTAGTGTGATTATTATTATTATCTGTTAATTTGAGTCAAGGTCTCACTGCAAACTACATATCCCAAGCTGACCTTGAACCCATGATTCTCCATCCTTGGCCTCCCAAGTGCTAGAGTTACAGATGTATGCATTGTGTCTCATATGGTGTGATTTAAAAAATATAGTTAAATATAATAATATATTATAATAATATATATATGATACTGAGCAAGAGCATGAGAGGAAGAGAGGTGGTAGATGGTAATATTATCTATAACCAAACCTTTCTCTTCCTGAATCTTGTGTCTTGATTGGTAGACCACTGTGCGATTTATCGTAACTTTTCCACAACCCTATATTCCACATTAAAGCAGCCATTAAATCCTGACATTTAGTTTTTCTTCCTACTATTACTGTCTTGGACCTAACTCCCATTATCATCTTGAAGATTGGCCAATGTCTGTTTTCCTAATATTACATCTCTCCCTTTTTCAGTGCTCTCTGTTTTCTTTTCTATAATGCATATCTGATAACTTAACCCCTCACCCCAGTCTCTGTTACTTTCATGGAAACAAGCACACACAGCCCTAAGGAACATTCTGTGGTCCATTTCTTTTTCTGTCTCCTGACCATCAATATTTATAGTTACGTACTGTTCTATTCTATACTCTTTTCCCAGGCCTTTGAATTAAACTGTGGAATGCCTCCTATTTCATGTTTCTTCTCTGAAATTATGTCATGCAAACAGAATAGATACTAGTTGCTCTGTGTTGATCCTATACTCTGTGCAGAGCTTATCTATAGCACTTGCCATGCATGCTTAGTCTCATCATTTCTATGTAGTTCTCCTTCAAGACCAAGCTTACACATCATGGAATCAGCTACAGGAATTAGGAGAGTATAAGTTATGACTCCATGTTTAGTGCTAAAAAGGTGCTAGACGTTTACTTATTAAACAGACAATCTGGTTAGTGGTTGCTTACCTCTCTGTTGAAGGAACCCATCTCTATACTTATTTGATGTCAAGAAGGAAAACTTGTGTAAGTTTCCTGCAGACAGCAGCTGTGCTCTCCTTTTGGGGCTTCCCAGTCCAACGATTGCCCATTGGAAAAAAAGTAATTCTTGGCAACTAAATTTCTGAAAAGGCTGGTAAGAAATGCTATAATTCTGTTCTTTATATAGGATGATGGATTTTTTTTTTTTTTACTTTTTTTCTTAGGAATAATGAAAGTAAGAAAAGCATGGACTTACTGTGAAAAAACATATACAAATACTGGATAGACTGGTGCTTGATTGATGTGTGTATGTGTGGTTTATATGGGGTCTCTGGCACCTCTTATCTCTCCATATGTGTATATTAGACTATAATAAAGAAAATACTTGCATTAAATTAAAAGTACTACTAAAGGTACAGCCATTAGCTCCACTACTTTAATGTAGTAAACTCATCTCCCCATAAGACATGCTTATGAGACACAAAAAGCCAACTGTCTATTGCACAGAAAAAAAGGAAAATCAAGGGGATGATTGCACTCAGTGGCTAATGAATTATTCAAGATTGTTTGTGTCAGTGCCTGGCTTGGTTTGGATGGAGGCAGGGATAACAAACTGAGTGTTCCAAACCACTGCAGCTGGTCTGCACCAAGAGGGTAGTTCAAATGGGGGTCCATGGCGCCTTATCTCATATTCAATTCATAAAGTGATAACATTTTATAAATAGGGACTTAGGGCATTTTGCAAGAGAATGCTACAATATTAGGGGGAACACATCATGACCATAATGCAGCAATAATTACGGCAATATGGATGTGCGTTTTTATGGTACTTGGGTTTTTAATGGGCTGTCATATGCTTCATTTCATTTAAGCCATATGATCTGGTTTGTAGTTAGAATTACTTAAACACATTTAGAGAGAACTTTGCCTGTGCACTGGTGGAGCTGGTATTGAAATAAGTATTCTCTGTCTCTCTTTTGAGATCCTCAGCTCACACAACAGGAAGGTTCTGGGCATATGGTTTTAATTTTGCTGGATCATCAGAATGAGATGTATTTTCAGGGTGCTGGATTGACCACCCCCTTCTTGATTAGAGAGAGATTTTTCTCTAGTAGTTTATTACATATCAGAGGCTCCTGTGAAACAGGTGAGGATTCCAGTTAGACAGATTTGGTTACCCAATGTCTTCATGGTTGGTGAGAGTATAGATTAGAGGCAGGGTTGTGAGTAAGAAGCAGGCTGGATGTCTGAATCCACTTATTCCTCATAATGTAATATCAGGCTTGATTGATTAAAAAGAAGAGAAAAGCATTAGTGTATCAGTGAGTTTACTTTCATCCAGATGCCTGAAAACTGTTAGTTGTTGAAAGTGTTATATACACTCTATTTTACGTCAATTGTTTCCAGTAGAGTTGCTTCGAAGTCTAATCCTGTAAAAGTCCAGCCACAAACATGAGGAGAAATAGGCTCCTGTGTGAGGGTATCAAGTCAACATCTCATCCATCCTCCTTCTTTCCCTCTATTCCTCTTTTATTGAAGAAAATTTCAGTTTTTAAATAGCAGTATTCAGACATTTCTCTTTGGCATCTGTAAAGCTTAAAACTTCATTCACAGAAATACAGATTTTTTTTTTTCAGCTTTCTACTCTGGTGTCTTGTTTTCCCTTCATTCATTTTGACTTTCAAATGAACTTCTTCCCTTCTGGTTGTAGGCATAGAACACAGATGCTCTCTGTTCTGTGCTTTTGTTTCTTTGTTTGGGCCAGAGTCTCCCTGTGCAGCTCAGCTGGCCTTGAATTCAAGATTCTCCTGCCTCACCTTTCTTGGATATAGATGTGTACCACTATGCGTAGTCAATGTATTTTTTATTAATAAAATATACTATTTATTTCAAGTGGCATTTTTTTTTTAGTTCAAACACAAACATCTTTTTCATTTTCCTGTATTTCAACAGCATATAGTAACTTCAACATGGTTCTCATCCCTTGGGCCTAAGGAATATGTCATTAGCTTAGTTTAGGGACTTGTTCATTATGATGAGCTCTTTCAGAATATATTTTAGTACTTACAAAACAACAGTTATAAAGGAAAATCTGCTTAATTCTATGTTTGTGACTCTCCACTGAGAGTATCAGTGTCTTTGACGGCTTGTGCTTTGGAACACTTCCTCTGACCTTTGTCCCTTTCATAAGTCATTGTGCATGGAAACTCATTGTGCTGAAGCTTTTTCTGAAGACTCTGTGTCTTCCACATACCAGTGTGCCCGTGGAGTTGTTGAGCAAACCCTGGCCAACGTTAGCGTCTTCTGGAAGTTACATTTCTTCGCCTGAGTACTAGGAGTACACACCATTGAGGCTGGGTCATGGGTGTCTGGAGTTCTAACTTTTAGATTGTCCTTAAACTTCATTTTTGAGAAAGACTGGGTCATTGAGTCAGTTTATTTTGAATAGAATTCTGTAACATTCTTTCTTCAGAATTCTATAACATTCTTTCATTCTAAAGCTGCATAAAAACTGTAGGCAAGGCCTGAAGCCAGAGGATGGCAATTTCAAGACCTGTCTGAGCTATAGAGTGAGTTCAAGTTCGGTTTGTGCAACTTAATGAGACCCTATCTCAAAATAAAAAGTGAAAAGAAGAATGCAGATATATATAGCTCAGTGGGAGAGTGCTTACACGATATATCTGAAGCTCTGAGTTCAATCCTCAGTACATAACAGCTATCAAACAAAACATCAACACAGACAAAAGGCTGTGATGCAGGTGTTTATGAATTATTTGACATTGTAGAATCAATAACGATGCATGTGATGTTGCCTATATAATTTAATGCAAAGCTTTCTTTGCTGCAGGTTTATTAGTGTGGTGTATTCTATGTTACCATGTCATTTTCAACATGATCTTTCTCAAGAATCTCATATTTAATAGGAACAATAAGAAAAACTCAAGTTGCAATATTTTTTCCTAGTGTTAATTTCTAATTTATTTTTTTTTTATTTTATGTGCACTGGTGTTTTGCCATGGGTGTTAGGTCCCCTGGAACTGGAGTGACAGACAGTTGCAAGCTGCTACGTGGGTGCTGGGAATTGAACCCCAGTCCTCTAGAAGAATAGCCAGTGCTCTTAACCATTGGGCCATCTCTCCAGCTCCCACTAGTGTTAATTTCTATGATATAATAGTTGCTTTCATTTGAGACCACAGTTTGTTGGTCTTTTTATTGATGAAAAATTTCAGGATACTTAGAAAATACAGTTTAATTCACCCTCTTCATAATGGCCAGCATTTGATGGTGTTAATATTGATGTTGAAGCCAATAATGATTTTGAGTTTTCAGAAGTTCTGGGATTAATTTCAGCATCAGACCATTTTTAAAATTATTGTGTTTCTCTGAAAGTGGAAATGAATGGGCAACACACAGAAACTTAGGCAAGCCTTTATTAACCCTGCCTGGGCAAAAGAGTGGTACACTTCAGTGAGGATATTATGCATTAACAGATCACCTGCTGACATAAGCTTTCTCTCTGAACTTTGTAAATACCTCTTTCATAGATGGGTCTAGTTTTCTTGAGACAGGGAAAACATTGCAAGACTGGAGATTAGAAGAATTACCATGGAGCCCAGCTAAAAATCCCACAATGCCTTCATCTATTATTTCTTTTTTGCTTTCAGGGACTTTCTTCCTCGAGGCTCAGGCATCGTAACCAGACGACCCCTTGTACTGCAGCTTGTCACCTCTAAAGCAGGTAATTAGTGAAGATATTTACTGTGGGGATGTGCGCACCCCATGGCAATTGTCATTTTCATTCCTGGGCACTAGATATAGCAACAAAACCACTTCTACGTCCACTCTGGTATGAGCAACTGCCTGCATTTCTCTCTAGAATGCTCTCCTGTCCATTATTCTTTGATCCCTTCGATTACATTGGAAGGAAGTCTTGCATGCATATAAATTTTTAATACTATTTTCTTAGGCCAAAAAGATATTTGCTTATTGTAATCCATCTATATAAGTTCATTGTATCATATTATCATGAATGCTCCTTTTGTGTGTACTCTTTCCGCACATATGTATATTATATGTGTGACTATTTTGTCATAAAAGTAACCATTTAGGGAACTGGAGAGGTAGCTCAGTGGTTAAGAGCACTTCCTCCTTTTTAGAGGGCCTGAGTTTAGTTCCTGGCACCCACATCAGGTGGCTCCAACCACCTGTACCTTCAAGTCCAGGGGCTCCAATACCCTCTTCTAGCCTTCAGGGACACTGTACTCACATGCACACACACACACACACACACACACACACACACACACACACACACACACATACGTGTGCGCGCGCGCACGCATGCATATAATTAAAATGAAAATATTATATAATGATCCAACTTCAGTTTTTACTCATAGACAACCAACTGTTGTGCCTCATTTGTCTAAAAGACTATTCTTTGTGCCTCATGTGTTCTTAGAATCCTTATCAAAACTTTATTGGCTGTATCTATGTGGGTTTATATTTGGATTCTCAGTTCTGATTAATTGATTGCTATTTCTACTTTTGTACCGATACCATGTTGTCTTAAATATCTTTGCTCTGTGCTAGTATTATTTTTGTGAATTTAGAAAGTGGCATTTCTCGTTTGTTTTTTGTTTCAAGTCCATTTTAGCTACCCTGAATTCTAAATTCCGTATGAATCTAGAATCATCTTGTTTTATCCTAGAAATGTGAAATTTTTTTTAACTCCTGAAAATCAATTAATGTAATGCATTGTGTCAGTAGATTTAAAAACAAAACAAAACAAAACAAAACAAAACAAAACAAAACAAAACAAAACAAAACAAAACAAAACAAAAAAACCCCCAGCAAACTCCACAGGATCATTTCAATAGGTTCAGCTAAGGCATTGCACATTCATGCAGAAAATTTGTAGTAAAGTTGGAATTAAGGGGTGCTTCCTCAGCCTAACAGAGATATGCAAACCCCTCTGTTAACAAACCTACACAAAAGGAATGCTTTCTCTGTAAGGCAGTGTTTCTCAACCTTCCTAATGCTGTGACCCTTTAATATAGTTCTTCATATTGTGGTGACCCCCAATCATAAAATTGTTTTCATTGCTACTTCATAACTATAATTTTGCTACTGCTATTAATTGTAATTTAAATATTGTTGGAAATAGAGGCTTGCCTGAGGGGTTGTAGCCCACAGGTTGAGAACCATTGATCTAACATGACTAAGGTAAGTATGTTTGCTCTTATCAATTCTATTTGACTTTGTCTTGGAAGTTTTAGTCAAGGAAATTTACCAAGACAAAGAAAAAAAAAGACTTCTAGATTGGAAAGGATGAAGTAAAATGTCTATTTGCAGATGGTTGATGATACACATGGAAAACATGAAGGAATCCATTAATAGGCAATTAGAACTAGTAAATCAGTTCCAGAGGTTGCAAGGTTCAAGATCAATATGTCAGACTAAATTATAATTATGTCCACTTGCAATGAACAATCTAAAAATGAAATTTAAAAAACAGTTCCATCTACATTAGCATCAAAAAGAGTACACCACTCAGAAATAATTTTCACAAAAGAAATTGGAAACAGGGGTTGGGGAAATGGCTCAGTGAGTAGGAGTGTTTGGTCTGAAGGAGGAGGACCTGAGTTCAAATCCATAGCACCCACATAACACTAAGCATGGCTTCATGTGATTGTAATCAGACCTGGGGGACAGAAGCAGGAAGATCTCACGAGATTGCTGAGCATCTAGCTTCTTGTTCTGTGAAAAACCCTGTCTCTCAAGCTGAGTAGGATTATGTTGTGTATATGAAGCACATTTTTATCATCACTGATGGGTGTCTAGGCTGATTCTAACTCCCATTATCATACCAAAATGGGTAGTAGTTGCATGACTATTCTGGGGGTAACCAGCCATCACTCTCTTCCTCTGATTGGGTTTAAGGCTAACTCAATAGGAGGGAATTCATACTTGATACTGTAGACCCAGTCTAAACCCATGGCTGAGGGGGCCTTAGTCCTGAGTCGGGAGCTTAATACTGTCTAGATTGATACGGTGCCAGTCTGCTCTCTAAACATCTATATTTGTACCCATAGACAAATGCTGCTCTCGGCCTTAATCAGAAAAGCTTCACTTACCAATGAATGGTGGTGAATGCAGAGACTTCTGGATGCTCAAAGTGCTGAGAACAAGTAGAGTTTAACTGCTCAGTCCTAAACAGAACATTTGCATCACCCTCTCTAAGGTTGAGGGACCATCTCTAAAAGGGAGCAGACAGAGTGCAGAAGCTAGAACACAGAGGAAAGGGATGGAAAAATGCTTTGTTTTGGGGCATGACACAGCCACCACAATCATGATATTACAGCAACTATGGTTGCCAGTACTGAGCTTGCACAAGACTGAGGCTGTCAATAGTCAATCATGGATTTGAGAGGGGTGCATGGGGTCCTACTATTCACTACTGGATCATTGGTTACTGATGGCTCCTGGGTGAGTGATTTTCTGAAATTGTACACACTGGTGAGTCCACCAGGCTCCAATGGCTAGTTCTCAACCTATGGCCATACAGATAGATGGTCCTAGTTGAATTCAGTGTGAAACAAAGCAATATGAATGTGGGAGAGGGACTCACAGAGAAAAGGGGAGAATAACAGGATGGGAAGGATGTGAAAGGATCAGAAGGCAAGAGTATTCCTAACACATTGTATGTATGTATGAAATCATCAAAGAAGAACTTTAATAAAAATTAAAACAAACAAACAAACAAACAAAAAGCTGGGAGGAAGCAAATTTGGGTGTGTGCTCACTGTTGATTTGCTTGTGACTTCATGTTGTAACCAAGACCAGTTATTTAAATACAGGTTCCTCTTGAATGGTTCATTCAACAAATAAATTTTTTATTTTATGTTTATATACAACATAAAACAAGACTAGAAAATAGAAAGCATAGATCAATATAACAGATATTTTTATTATACTTTATTTTGAAGATTTATTTTTATTATATTTTTAATTTAATATTTTGATAACTTCACATGAGTAGCATATTTAAATCATTTCCATCCCTTCCTCTCTCCCTTCCAAGTTCTCTTATGTCCATTTTCAGATGCATGATCTCTCTTCTTTAATTATTTCATCCTAACCAAAATAGTTAAATCAAGAGGAGACCTCTAACAAATGTGGAGATTAGAAAGCCTTCCAACTAAAAACAGCTCATATTCAGATGGAATCACAACAGAGTTGTACCACACTTATTTTTCTTTTCTATCTCTCTCTTCTTCCTCTTTCTCTTCTCCTCCTTCTCCTCTTTCTTCTTCTCCCTCTTCTTTTTTTTTTTCCTTTTTACAAATACTTCTTAAAGAATTCTGTGTGCCACCAAGCAAACTTCACTCTTACTGTGGAGCTTACCACTGAGTGAAAAGAAACAAAAATAAATAAAAATAAGTTCACAGAATGAACAAGAAATGGGACCAACTAGCACTCAGGAGGCAGAGGCAGGAGGAGGGCTGCAAGTTTGAGGCCAGCTTAACCTATATAGTGACCTCTAGTTCAGTCACGGCTACATATTGAGAGTCTAGCTTAATAAACAGAAGAAGAAACAAAACAAAACAATAAATAAGTCAAAGGGGAGTGGGAGGAAGAGGAGGAGGAGAAGGAGCAGCAGGAGGAGAATAGAAAGCGAAGGGAAAGAGAGCAGGCACTCAAGTCATGCGGACCATTGTGTGAGAAGTAGAAGTCAGGTGGCTACAAGGTGAGAGATGCCTATGTGCTTCATGTTGAACATGGGGACCAATAGGTGTGGGGGTGCAGTGAAGGAGAGGGGTAGCAGGAAATGGAGAGAAGACTTCAGTGCTGCTGCCATAGTTAAGCAGAAGAAAGCCAATGGGGACAGCTACATTACAGGCCAGAGGCATTTAACGAGAACACGCCAGGAGGATCAGAACTCTAGAGGCCACTGATAGCATGGCTGAGGGTTAGCGAGGGAGTGGGCTAAGAAAACTCCTCTACCTGTAGGCAATATGGAAAAACTCCTTCTGCAGTGGGGGGGATGGGGGCGGGGAGAGGGGAGAGGGGAGAGGGGCAGATAAGCCTGTGCTTGGGATATGAGTTCAGAGACTCTTTCTGTGATCTTCTTGTATGCCTTTGTTTTCTTCAGGAAGAGGCCGGGCATTTGTTGGCAATCAAAATCTTTTCTTCCTATTTCCCTTAGTTACGACTTCCTTCTTCTCAACCACAAATCACTCTTACTTGTGACAAAAACACCTCTGATGTCTAACTGTGTATATATTATTTATTGCTTGTCCTGGCAGGGAATATCTTATTCCTAGTTTTAAAAGCCATTTTAAACACGATGAGTAGAGATATGGTTTGCTGGGTCCCAATTAATCACTCACTGAGACAATCATTTAATGACACATATGATCATCCCGTCATATTTTACCATCTTTTCATTCCTACCTTACACTCAATTATGGCTCTTTGCCCATTGAATGAATTCCACAGATTTATTTACATTTCCTTCCCATTCATCTATTGCTGCCAAGTCACCAAACGAACAGTAGGCTGACCAGCATCAAATGACTCCTTTGTCTCTTCCGACTTTCTTCCATTGAGTTTTGACATTCTTAAAACTCCATTGATAGATTTTAGTGTTTCTAAGTAAGGAAGGATGCTGACCTTGCTTTTCACAGCTTTCGAGTTTGGTGCCGAAACAGCAGGCACAGGTGGGGAAAACAAGGT